GTTTTTTTAATAATTCTCATTTCTTATCCAATCTATCTAAGGCACTTTTTGGTTTATAACCCCAGGCAGGCCCTGCATTCCAACCCGCTGCCTTCCATGAGCTACAGTCATAGTTAACAGTCACATATATGTATGGGTCTTTATTGTGCGGTATATCGTTGATAGTAATGACTGTGGGAATGTACAATTGACAACATCACAATAATCAAATGCAAATGTGGCCACCCATGTACTGGAAGAATTATACCAAAATGTGCAAACATGATTGTCTTTGGTTATAGCAACTTGTTGAGCTTTTATCAGGCCTAGTAGTAAAAACAGACACAATAAATGCATGGTGTAACAGGATCTGCTTCTTCTGGTGCTGGAACTTACTTGCGATGTGAAGCGTGTATCCAAGTATTCTTTCCGGACAATTTAACTGAGGTAGTCGTGGTCAAAAGGACTTGGGATGGACCATCATATCTTGGCTCAAGGGTATGTTTCCTCAGGAACTTCTTAACCAAAACCCAATCACCAGGAAGTAACTTGTGAGTGCCTGTATCAGACTCTGGATCTGGAATGGAAGAAAACACTTGGGCATGTATTTTGCGTAAAGTTTGAAAAAGAGCAGTTACATAATTAACCATAACATATGATTGCAGTTGGAGTTTTTGAGGAAAATAACAACCTAACCTAGGGGAAGACTCTCTGGCCAGGGTAGATTAGTTTATTTGGCTATCTTAAGCATTCTGGCCTTTAAGGTACCATTCATGCGTTCTACCTTCCCGCTACTCTGTGGGTGATAGGGTGTGTGGAATTCAAGGGTCACCCCCAGTGCTGCCCATACTTCCTTAGTCACTAGTGTGGTAAATGCCGGGCCCTGGTCACTTTTGATTACTTCAGGAACTCCATATTTGAGCAGACGCTTGGCTATAGTCTTGGCAGTCAGGTTGGTAACTGGGAAAGCTTCTGGCCATCCTGAGAACATATCCACCATAACTAGGGCATATTCATACCGGCCACTCTTTGGCATCTGAATATGATCAATCTGGATTCTCTGCAATGGATAGTGTGGCTTCACCAGATGTTTGGGGAAAACTTTCTCCATTTTTCCCGGATTACACTTGGCACAGATAACACATGATTTACAGTAGCTCTTGGTCAGGGAGGTAATGCCTGGTGCTTCGAAATATTTATTAATCAGAGAATTCATAAGAGTCTAAAAAAGCGGTTGGACGGCCTTCCACTGAGAAGGACCACGGTAGCAAGGTGCCCCCCTCTGTCCCCTGCAGACACTGCCATGACAGGGGAATATGACACAGGTTTGCCAGTAACCTATTGTACCAAATCTAAATGACCCTGGCCTGGGCCGTCGTAGGGACGGCCAGGTTGTTGGGCACGCTGCACGGGGCACTGGCGACTGGGAACAGGATGTTCAGCAGATAGGTAGCGAACCCATCCTGGGAATAATCGGCAGTATAAGTAGGAGCGACAGGGTATCCAGGGCCAGGCTGGTAGCCAGCCAGAGGATAACCTGGGGCCTGAATAGATGGATATCCAGCAACAGGATAAGCCTGAGTCTGGAAAGGAGGGTAGCCTGATATCGGGTAAGATGGTCTTGTGGCCTGTGGATACTGTCTGAAAGCTCTAGGAGCTGGGCAGTCCCTCCTTAAATGCCCTGGCCTGTGACAATTGAAACAGACACCAGTCTGGGGCCCCGGAATCTGGATAACAAAGGGACCCGGAGGAAGGGGCATAGGGTATCCCGTAGGAGCAGGAGTGGAAGCAGGCCCGACTTGCAGGGTCCATGGCCGTAAACATAATAGGGGCGGGCTTTTTTGGCTGGGACGATTGAACTGACTCCAGGCTCTTCGCGACCAGGAGCAGTGTGTCTAGGGGAATGATCCTGTATTCAGGACGGGATAGAAAGAGGCCTTTCTTTATTGCCTCCTTAAGGCCTGCTACGAAAGCTGCGGACAGCATCTGGGTATGGGCTTTGTTATGTACGGTAAAACCCAAGTCATAAAAAGTTTGGGTCAATCTAGAATAATATTTTTCAACAGATTCCGTCTTTTCCTGCACAATATCATTAATACTAGTTGCCTGATCAGCTAATTTATCTTGAGCCCACGCTCGGAGTTGCTCACAGAAGTCTATACCAGATTGGAAATCTGTCTCATCTGTGAGACGGGCAGGGTTAAAACTCCTTTCCATAATAGGCCAATAAGTATCCCCAGCCTTAATCTCACACAAGCTATATAGGTTATGCCATGCGGCTATGTGTGTCTTGCGGACCTGAGCGATCCTCCAAAAGAAGGGTATGGGCTGCTTCTCCAGGCCTGGAAGGGATGTGACTAGGACTGCCGCTTGGGATGGGTTAAATGAAACGTATGTAAGGGCTCCACTCACTGGGTTAGATAATCGAGGTGGGCTGCCCCCAAACTCACTACCATCTTCAGAGTGGAGTTGAGGTGGAAAAGGCTGTTGGGGATGGAAAGCAACAGTGTAAGCAGAATCGGATACTTGCGCATTTCTGAGAACAAGTTGGGGAGGGGGAAGCCCTTGTGCGGGAGTTTGGAGCTGAGCTGAGGTAGCTGGAGGATTGGCGGGGCCGCCAACAGCGCCAAACTCACCAGACTCTACAGTCATTATAGGGAGCGGGACACTGGGGGCCATGACTCTGGGGGTGGGAACTGGAACGGGCCCGAAGGTGGGAGAGGAAGTAGACAGAGGCATGCTGGGAGGGGAGGTAGTGACCATAATAGAAGCAAGCATTTCAAAAGTAGGAGGGGGTGAAGGAGCAAATGCGGAAGTGGAGGTAAAGGGATAAGTCAGGGTGGGAGCGGTGAGGATAGGGGACTGGATTGGGGTGGGACCAGAGACAACAGGAACCGAAAGGAGAGAAAGAGCGGGAGACTGTGTAACCGGAGTAGACATAGGAAGGGAGGGAGAAATAGGGTTTTGCAGAGTTGAGCCTGGAAGGGGAGGCATGGTTGGAGCCGGAAGTAAAGGGAGAGCGGGAAACTGTTTAACCGGAGCAGACAAAGGAAGGAAGGGAGAAACAGGAGTTGGCACAGCAGAAACAGGAAGGGAAGGCGTGACCAGGTCTGGTGAGGGAAGTGAAGAGCAGGGCCGGACTGGCCCACCGGGATACCGGGAAATTTCCCCACAGATGTCAAATGACAGAAGGGGTAGTATGAATGGCATAGGAATGTGAAAAGGATTTTACTATATGGATGTGAAGTAATCAAGGCTCTGCAAGGTGTGAGGTTCTACACTTGGAAAAAGTATGAATGTCTCTTCATCCATTTGGCATGTACCTTGTAAAGGATAGTTCAATCCTTTGATATGGTAATGGGATTAGTTCCATGAAGATCCTTGTGTTCCAGTATCTTATCCAAGTGAAACATTAATACTTACCCACAAGTTAATAATTAAGCCTCATTTTTATTATATTTGGAATGGGACAAGCCCAATCTCTTAATTAAGCCTAAACATGGGTTGCACAACTTAAACCGTGTGGCAGGAATTGTGATATCCGTCCTATTGGATCGTGGCGGGGCATGCAACATGTCTATGGAATGGGAAAACAATAACAAATTCATAGAGGCAATTATTATTTCTGTGGCAAGTACAGTAGAGGAGATACAACCAAAAGTTTATATGTGGCTTGTTGTTTTCTGGAACAAAGGAGGTGGTCACTTATTATCTCTATAGGTACGCCTTGGGTGAGGCGTGGTAATTTACAGGGTATATCTCCTGTGATCCTGAAGGGTGCTGGTGTACTTGCTTGGGGCCAAGATCTAATTTTGAGTGAGTCACCATCTTTCCTTGCCAGAGACCTCCTGGACAGAAGTTGTACTTTGAAAAAACCTAAGTGAGTAATTAGGACTTCTGTATTTTATCCTTTTTGTTTTTATCTGTTGTTGGCGTAAATCATTTGTTTATCAAATATTGTTATATGCACTGTGACTATTTTTTGTTCATAATAAACATTCATTTATTAAGCTCTGTTTTTGTCTCGTTAAGAATCACGTTACCTGAAGAGACTAGTTAGTATTTTTGCAATTCCTTAAGTATTTTATTAAGTAATATTTGGTGGGTTTTATGATTGATTTACCAGGGGGGACCAAGGCACCCCATTTATAAAATGTCTTGATGGTGGCAGCGTTAAAATAGTAATGGATATATTATTATGTTTAAGTGTGCGTGGTGTTAAAAGGGGGATTTTGTCATTATTTGGGGTCTAGTGCAGACAAATAGTGAACTATAACCCTTTCACTACCACAACTACGTCACGCACACTCTTGGAGTAGGGTGCGTTCGTGACAGGCGGAGCTAACTACCATGCTCCCTCGCGGTTCCCATAATTCCCAGCATCTACACATCATAGAGTAGGGATTACTCTATGATGTGTAGATGCTGGGAATTATGGGAACCGCAAGGGAGCATGGTAGCTAGCTCTGCCCCCTCTCTCAGTCCTCCTGTGACAAGGTCAGAAGGCGGGGGAGACAAAAAGAGGGGAAGGGGGGGACATATAGTGGGGAAGGGTGGGACGAATAGAGGGGTAATAGAAACACATGGGAAGGGGGGACACAGAGACTGAGGGGTAATAGAAAGACACCAGGTTTGGGGGGGGCAAAGAGACAGAGGGGTAATAGAGAGACATGGGGCAAGGGGGGACACAGACAGATGGGGTAAAACAGGGGATGGGGGGACAAAGAGAGGGGTAATAGAGAGACACCAGGGAAGGGGGGACAAAGAGACAGAGGGGTAATAGACATAGGGGTTGGGGGGACAAAGAGATGGGGAAGAGAGACACACAGAAGGTTTGTTGGGGGGACAAAGAGATATACAGTAGGGAAGGGGAACAAAGTGACACAAGACTGGGAGAAGAGAAAGAGGCACACAGAGTCTGGAGTTAGAAAGAGACACACAGATGAGATTTGGAAGGGGAGAAAGAGACAAAGTGGCTGGGGCTAAGAACAACACAAAAGGGGCTGGGGAAAGAGAAATACAGAGGCTGGAGAAGGGTAAAAAGAAACACACAGGGGCTGGGATGAAGTAAAAGATGCACAAGGGTCGCTGTAAGAGAAAAAAAGGAGACAATTGGAGACAAAATACACTAAACGAGGTAAGGTAATAGACATAAATTGACGTGATCCTGACAGTAATACACATATATATATATGCACGTATATTGATGTGTGTATTGGTAACATATAATTATGCCTATAATATTTACACATATAGTAATATACATTTATATATGCATAATACACACATAAATGTCATTAATATGTATTAAGGCCGTTTGGCCTGTATTTGTGGGGGGGGGGGCTTAAATTAATTCACTCCCCAATATAAGGGACACCCCTTACCTGGGTCATCCAGACGCCATTTTACCTGATTACTCCATGAGGTTTTCTAAGCTGAGCTGTGTCAGGAATCCAGCCACAGGCATTTCCGCCTACCACCTTCTTTCTTCAATGGTGTCCATCAGTCCCACGGCATCAGTCCCACGGCACCATGCACGGGTCAGGTCCTCACTTTACAGGCTGCATTTTGTCTAAATCGGTTCTAAAACCATTGCATGTTCATGCATATCATTCGTTTAAATTCACTTGTTTATATCTGTCACTGGCTCATTTGGAGCATTAGCATACTCCCGAGCGAGAACACATTCTGTTTCAATTGCCTAAACATACTAGGCAATTCTGTGTGTGCATTTCGAATCTCACTGCTCGTTTCGTTTTGTTTCCCTGACATACCAGGCTCACGGTTCGTGCAATTTTCTACCAAATAGGAACTAGATCATGCATTTACTATTGTACTACATACACGTTTCGTGCGTTTACAACCAGGGCCGGCGCTACCTGTAAGGCGACCTAGGCAGCCGCCTAGGGAGCACCTTAGCAGGGGGCGCCGGAAACCCTGCGCCCGGCGGCTCCTCATGCTGCGCCGCCTGAGCGCTTTTACAAGCCTCAGGCAGCGCAGCACTGCTGTGGATGGCGGCCTGATTTGAGTGACCGGTAGGAGGGAAGCGCAGAGTGATCCCTCCCGCCGGTCTCTCAATGTAGCGTGGCCGGGCGGCGCGGAACGCGGGACAGAAACCTCTGTTTCCTGTACCCGGCCGCCGGCGGACTGACAGGAAGGGCTCACTTCCTGTCAGTCCGCCGGGTACAGGAAACAGAGGTTCCTGTCCCGCGTTCCGCGCTGCCCGGCCAAGCTACATACACGGGAGGGAAGAGGAGGGCAAGGTAGGCAAGGACCACAGGGGGAGGGGAGGGGGGGTAGGCAAGGACCACAGGGGGAGG